CTTTTTAGGGCTCTAATGAATTTTTTTTGTTTTCTCAAAATTTTTTTATAATACAAACTTTATTTTTTTCAAGTGTCATCCCGTGTATCGATTTTTTTCATTTGTGCAGAAAATGAAGCTTATTAAAAGGGATTTATTTATTTCACCGTTAATAAAAAAATATTTTATAAGTATTTATTTTATGGAATTCTAGTTTTTTAACTTAATAATATATTTGGTTGCATATCCTATTTTTGAACGATTGGTGCAAAGTTACAAGCCAACCTTCTTACTTTATAAATCTTGGTCTTACTCTTACTTGAGAGCAACTTAAAAGGTGTCAAATAATTTTACATTATTTGTGAAAAAATCACTTGGTTTCATTAAACAATGAGTTGTCAATTAATTCCTTCTTAACACTTATGTATCAAAGCAGGAAAACCGGCCTATGTTCTCGTATTTTTTTATTTCAGTTATTAGAACTTTATTTTACTCTTTTTTTCCTTTCTTTTTGACACGTAGAAAACGGCACACAACTAAACATCAACATCATACAACAATGGCAAAAAAGCACTAACTACAACTAATCTAGTCAATTATAAGTTCTATTAAAACTTCTATTACGGCAAAATGGTCAGTGCTGTTAATTTACCAAGTTTGTAATGTGGTAGCGCACCTGCCATTGAGGTTGCCCGCCGTATAATTCTTGAAAATAGCGGACATGCTTTCTGTACCAGAAATGTTACCTATGGTGGAAGCGTTCCTACGCATATATTCCATGGCGTCCCTCATTGCTAATTTCGAGTAAGTTTCTAAGATTTTTGGTTCGGCACCTTGATGGTTTCTCAGCAAATACGGTCGGATAAATTTATTATCAAAGTGTTTGAATCTGAAACAAAAATTTTATTAGCAAATGATTGAAATTTTTTCTTCTATTTGACACGTTATAGACACAATATTGATTAAAGGGCTGTAATGTTGTTTCACAAAGGTGACAGAATCTTGTAAGCATCTAATTTCGCAAGTCAGGTGTCAAAGGGAGCTTTAAATTCCATTACGATAAACACAATGGCCTCTTGAAGCTTGTTATACAATACAGAATGTTTCAGATAAACCCCACATTAAAAGTATTGGGAGCTTTAACAGTGAAATTTTTCAAAAATTTTGATTATAGGTATAATTGTTTAAATCTTGCTCATTGAAAATATTTGTTATTTTAAATAAAAAGTTATGTTTTTTATTGCGTTTTTGAAATATCTAAACTTTTTTGAATTTTTTTGAATTTGTACCTTCCTCTTGAAAAATTGATAACACTATCATTTTTAATTATTTTGAAATCGTATTTGGATATATGAAAAAAAAAGGTTAGATGTTTTCTTTGGTGTATTTATAATTGGAAAAATAATTAACATACCCCCAAAATTGAAGGTTACGTTTCGGAAACTTCTAATACCCGTAACTGAATTTTTTCAAATAGAATGTCCCAATTTTTTTTCACTAAATGAAAGGTAATTTAATTCTGCATCGATCTGTATCAACATTCCCTATACCTAAATTTCCAAGATATTTCGACTTTTTTTACAATGAAAGAAATTCATTCCTATCCATGGTAGTTTTCGCATAGTTTGCCATGGTAATATTTCTCACTGAAAAAACGCCAAGTTTTTTTTCACAATTGTGTTATTCTTTTCTTAAATACAAATTTAATTTATTTAGTCTAAATTTGAATAACTTTGATATTATATTTTTTTCTTATTTCAATGACAACCTATGCTAAAGTAGCAGATGAATTTCGCAAAATTTCAAAAAAGTTACTATAACTTGAAAACTATCAAACATAGGTATAGGGAATGTTAATACAGATTGAAGCACAACTAAATTCTCCTCCATTTAGTGAAGAAAAAAATGGGGTGTTTCATTTAGAAAAATTGAGTTAAAAGTATTTGAAGTTTCCTAAACATAACCTTACATTTTGGCGGTTTGTTAATTATTTTTTCAATTATAAATACACCAAAAGAAAGATCTAACCTTTCTCTCTCGTATACCCAAATACGGTTTCAACATAATAAAAAATTGCAGAGTTACCGATTTTTGAATAGGAAGTTTCAAATCCAAAAATTTATAAAAAAGTCTAAACATTTCAAAAACGGTAAAACGTAGGTGTAAGAAAAACTAATGAAAACTCTCTCAAGATCACTTGAGTAATCCAAAAACGTAATAAAAAACATAACTTTCTTTTTAAAATAACGAAGTTGATATCCACTTCCGGTATAACAGGAAGTACCACCATCTTGAAAATATTCTACACAGAATCAGAATTTGTTTACAATTCACATGAAAATTTTGTATCTAAAAGACAAAAGAATAATGTTTCATTATTCAAAATATTTGCGGCGGTGAAACTCGATTCACCCTGTACATAATTACGGTAGCGATATAACAATTTGTAGATGTTAAGTCCAAACATAACTCTCGTTTATACGTTGCACAAGTTGGTATAACCGTTAAGCTTTATGGGACATAAAAATAATTTGATACCATTTACGTTTTCTTTCGATAAAAAATAAACGAGTAATTTGGTGTTTGTAAAAATTCGATTTCGTTTCAAAGACTTGGAATGGAAATTTCTGCCACAGTCCGGGAGCGATAACGAAATCCGGGCCCGGATTATGGCAATGAAAGATTGACAACAGACGTCGCGTCGGGAACTCCGGGCTTTAAGGTCACCGAACCAGTTTAGCGTTTAAGAAAGCTCTCCGGAAATATAAATACTAAGAATTTGTTATTCTTACTCAAACAGATTTTAAAAAATAAAATTCTTGAGGATTTTTTGGACGGATTTAATGTTAATACCACATGAAAAACGTGTTTTCCAACATATCATAAAATTTTCAAATATTTCCGTAACGCATTTATTTATAGATATAAATATTCATTTATGAGGAATTTGAGGTCGAATACTTTCTCGCCCCTTGACACTCAGACTAATATTTACGAATATTGCAAATATGTGTAAGGAATTCTAGTAATTATTATCAAATAATAATCAAAAAATTATTTATTGTTCGTGAAGTTTATGTGCAAAACAAAAAAATTTTAAATAACACATACAGTGTGTCCCAGCGAGTTGAAAAAGTTCATTAGTGACCTTTAAATGGTGAAATTTAAAAAAAATTGTATAGGAAAGCATGTCCCAAAAATAAGTTACGATACAAATTTGTGTTTTTTTTAAATGAAACACCGAATGTTTCATGGCATTTTTAGATGTAGCCTTTTAAAACAATGTTTTTACGCTAAACTTTTTTTAGTCGATTTTGCTTAGTTTTAGAAATAAAATGTTTTTTTTTTGACAAAAACATGCACTTTTTAAAAATTTATTACACAAAAACTAAGATAGCTAGAACAAATTTTTTCTTTCTTCTGCAAAGAAGAAAGTACAGAATCTAAAGCTGTAGCAATTTTTTAGTGTTTTGCATTTGTAAAGATTAATAAATTAAGAAGTTTGTTAAAAGTTAAATAACTAAATAAATAACACAAATGTGATTATTAAGTAATATTTCTTCCATCTCTTGTGCAACTGTGCACTTTTTGGCTACTCAAACAATAGATTTTTTTTTTAATGTTTAACGTTAAATATCTTTTTAGTTATTGATTATAAACACCTAAAAGTAAATAATTTTAGAAAGACAATTTAATAATCTTTTAAATGCAAAAACAATAAATAGGGTGTTCCATTTAATTTTTAAGTTATTGAACTTTTAACAAACGCCTTCATTTTTTTACCTTTACAAATATAACACACTAAAAAAATGTTACAACCTTATAGCTTGTACCTTCTTCTTTGCGGTAGTAAAAAAAATATTTCTGTATGTCTTAGTTTTTGTGTAATAAATTTTTAAAAAGTGCATGTTTTGGTCAAAAAACCGTCTTATTTTTAAAACTAAGCAAAATCGACCAATAAAAGTTTTGCTTAAAAACATTGTTATAAAAATCTACATCCAAAAACGCTAAAAAACATATGGCGTTTCATTTAAAAAAACACAAGTTTGTATTGTAACTTATTTTTGAGAATTTTGTTTTAATTTTACGATTTAAAAATCACTAATGAACTTTTTCAACTTGCTGAGACACCCTGTATGTAAAAATCTTACCTATCTCGAATGTGGTAATTCCCGTGTTGACCCATAATATCTTCCAACGCCGCCATAACGTGATCCATCAACTGAAAGTGCAATTTTTAATTTAACAAAAATATGTTTCGTATTTCGTACTAATCATAGTAGGAATAATAAATAAACAAGTCATATTGACTCTATTTTACGAGTTGGTATTTATTTTTAATTACCCTTTCGTGAATTCTTTCATTCATTGTCGGTTTTCGTTTCTCTGATGTCTTGACATTAAGAATTTTTACCAAAGGTTTTATCGTAATACCCTGGAAGAACACAGTAAAGTAGACAACAGCAATCGTCGTCGTCATAAACATTGGCTGAAGTGGCACTATTTCGGGGTTGATTAAAAGCACCAAAGCGAAGGCTACAGCCCCTCGTAAGCCCCCATACGACATCACGAATTTCTCCACTTGACTTAGCTGATGTAATCGAAAACGATTCGCTATTGCTGTGAATATTATTACACCTGAAAGAAATGCATCACTGGTATAAATCTGGTGTGAACATCACACGACTTTCCTTATCCTACTTATTTGGAAAACATCTTCAAAAACAATAATTTAGTGTTGGAAACCTAACCTTTGTATTAGTGCCACATTTATCACATTTTATTGTTTAATAGGGTATATTTCATGATTCTAAATAATTTGTGTCTCCATGTATTCATTGTATTTTTGACCGATTTTTACCAATTGTTTCGTGCTGCGTCACTTATAGGATAAGGAAAGTAAAAAAGTAGCTGGAAAAAAGATTAAAACCAGTTACAAATTTAGTAATTAAAGCTTCATAAATTTTTCAAGTTGTATTGAATTGCGCTGAAAACGCCAATTTAATCCACATTTATCTTCATTTCTTGGATGCGAATTAAAGTGAAGTTTACGATAAACATAAAAATGAATTAATAATGACTCATTACTTACCTAATACCCTATAAACTGAGCAAAATAGAATTGTGAGTACAACAAACCATGTGTTCCAGACATGGTACGAACTTACAGTCGCCACACCCAAAAACATGAAAATGATAGTTTCCGACGAACTGCTAAGCATTTTCATGGTGTATTTTATTGTCGTGTGAGACTTGTGTGATATGTTTGCCTCCACGTAGTTCTTCATTGTTATACCACAAAATGTAATTCTGAAAAATAAAGCGAATTTCAGTGTGAACTTAGAATTAAAAAGCAAAAATATGAAATAATTTTTAAGACATCAGGGTTCAAATTTGTGAAATTTAAAGGTTCTCAAAAAAATCGTCCCCTAAAAAATATGCTTCAACTTAATTCTAAATAAAAAAGTAGATTTTTACGCGTTTATTGTGCCGTTATTTTTATTAAAAAAGTAACGGAAACTAATAAAATGTTCAATTTGATTGCAATTTTTTGCACTGGAATTAAAAACTTGTAGTTTTTGGCCCCCAAGTTCCAATCCAGAGTTGTTAAGCATTAGGATTTATTTTATATGCCACACGGGCATCCACATTATTCAAATTGTGATAGAGATAAATTAGGTAATGGATAATTAATCTTTTACAGTGTGTAATTTTGTTTAGGTTTGAATAATCTTATTTACTTGTCAAAGGGCTTATAAATGAAATGGTAATCCTGCGATATTGGGTTTAACGTAGCATTCAGTAGGACAATTAAGCAATTTGTTATTAACCCATCAAATTCAATTATCCATCATTTGAAGAGTCTGCAAACAAACAGCTTTTACTGAGATTATTGACTACTGTGAATTACTTTTTTCTAATATTTTACAAAAAACAAAACTTTTTGTTCATACGAGATTGAAAAGTCGTTAAAACTAGAAGTACCGTCATTTCTAGAAATTAATTCTCATAATTTTTAATCTATTAAATCGATAATTCAATAAAACGCATAAAACGAGGATAAAACGAACCAAGAATGTTTTCATGGCTTAGTCAAATTGGAATATTGCCAAGCATTCAGAAATATTGCTTGATTTAGTAATAACAAACCAAACATTTTTATATACTTGAAAGTGATTGGTTAAAAAGTGACTATTTCTCTCTTCTCAAATTTTGGTGTTAATTGCCATACTCGAAAAATATGAGTTTTTTAATACATTTTTGGATTACTGAGCTTATTTTGAGAGAGTTTTTATCTCTATACGATAACTTCGCAATTTTTTTTAATATTCAAAATTCAGATTTAGGCATTTTAAAGAGAAACAAAGTGTCGTTTGAAAAACGTAAAATGCTCCAAATATGGATAATTATTATACAAGGTGTCCCAGCGAGTTGAAAAAGACCATTAGTGACCTTTAAGTGGTAAAATTAAAATATATATATATATAGGACATTGATAGATTCTAATCTAGTCCATCGCCTAAAATTATTTTCAACTATACAACGTGTCTCAAAAATAAGTTATATTATAAACTTGTGTTTTTTTAAATGAAACACCATATGTTTCTTAGCGTTTTTGGATGTAGATTTTTATGACAAGCTAAACTTTCATTGGTCGATTTTGCTTAGTTTTAAAAATAAGACGTTTTTTTGACGAAAATATGCACTTTTAAAAAATTTATCATACAAAAACTAAGACATTTAGAAATATTTTTTTTACTACCGCAAAAAAGAAGGTACAAGCTATAAGGTTGTAACATTTTTTTAGTGTGTTGCATTTGCAAAGATAAAAAAATGAAGGCGTTTGTTAAAAGTTCAATAACTTAAAAAATTTAAATGAAACACCCTATTTATTGTTTTTGTATTTCAAAGATTATTAAATTGTCTTTCTAAAATTATTTACTTTTAGGTGTTTATAATCAGTAACTAAAAAGATATTTAACGTTAAACTTAAAAAAAATTAATTACTATTGTTTCAGTAGCCAAAAAGTGCACAGTTGCACAAGAGATGGAAGAAATATCACTTAATAATCACATTTGTGTTAAACTGAATCCATTATTCTTTATTTTTACAATAAAATAATTCAATTTTCAGTATTTATAACGACTTTTACAATTTCTGGACAAATCAGATATTAATAAGCATTGTTGCTACAATTAATATTGAATGTTAAATATCTTTGCATTTAACAATTCTAGACATTAAAAATTATTTTTTTTTAAATAGACAATTTATCAATCTATAAGATGAAAAATAAAAAATAGGGTGTTTCATTTAATTTTTTTAAGTTATTTAACTTTTAACAAACTTCTTAATTTATTAATCTTTACAAATGCAAAACACTAAAAAATTACTACAGCTTTAAATTCTGTACTTTCTTTTTGCAGAAGTAAGAAAAAAATTGTTCTAGCTGTCTTAGTTTTTGTGTAATAAATTTTTAAAAAGTGCATGTTTTCGTCAAAAAACTGTTTTATTTCTAAAACTAAGCAAAATCGACTAATAAAAATTATTAAAAGCATCCAAAAATGCCATGAAACATACGGTGCTTCATTAAAAAAAAACACAAGTTTGTATCGTAACTTATTTTTGGACATGCTGTATAGTTAAAAATATTTTTTTTTAATTTCACCATTTAAAGCTCACTAATGGACTTTTTTAACTCGCTGGGACTGTATATTTCGGTAAAATTGAATTTAACTGAACAACAATATTTCGCTATTCTACCACTTTTAGATGTTCCACTTTTCTATATTTATTCGGAAATTTATTTTCAAAGATTTTCTCGCATGAATTGATGTTTATACAGGCTGTATAAACATAAACGCTGATGTGGATGACCTAGTACGCATTTATAACAATAGAGTTTTTTATCGTATATTTTGACAGTCGTTTTAAACTAACAAACAGAATTCAATTATTTTAAACCTAAATCCAATAATTTTAGTTATTATTTTTTTATTTTGAATCCTGCCTCATTTCCGATGTATTAAAAAGATTATATTCCTTTTGTTTCAGACAATCTACGCAATCATTTTATGACATCCTGTGTCTCATGAGGAATAAATTTTATGTTATTTAGATTTCAGAGTGTAAATTTAATGAGCAAATATTGTCAAAATGAAAGTTACTTACGCTAAAATTCCAGACATATGAAATATTTCGGCATTTAAATACGCCAAATAGGCCATAACAAATATAAAAATAGGTTCTATGACACGCACTTCATTGGTAAATCTTGTAACATAACCCGTCGCAAGTCCCCATATCACACCTATCACAGTACCACCAATAGCCACTACGAAGAAACTGCCAATACCGGCCACAATGTCTTGGTAGATGATGTTTTCTAGGCCCATTTCGGTATAAGACTCAAAAAGGTGGTATAACACTACAGTGACGGCATCATTTAAAAGTGATTCACCAAACACCACTATGTATAATATTTCGTTAACTTGAATCTCTTCGAAAACTGCCAACACTGCCACTGGATCCACCGCAGATATCAGCGAACTAAAGAGGAACATGTCCAACAGCGGGGTATCACAGGAATACAGGCCTGTCAGTCCTACTGCCCACAAGGAAGCACCTGAAACAGAAAACCAAGGGTTTTTGGTTTTGAGTTTTATTTCAGGACTACAAAGTCAAAAAAAAATTGTTTTCACAACTTCCTACTTTGCAGATTAATTTATAATACATTATTAAACCAAAACTTCCTAGAGTATCTTATGTAGTTTTGTTTGGGCTAAATCCACTTTGAATCGTCTTGCACATTTTCCTAATCCGAGTTCTAGGAATGTCTTTATTGTAAGGAAGAGATTACACTCTTGTACGAGTTCTAAATTCGTACACGAATTGTCTAATAACGAGTGTTGAGATGAATATTTTGAAATTTGCATTAAACCTATATTTAATATGAAATTTAAAAGGTTTTATCGTGTGAGAAATTTAAAATATTAACATATCTTCACTTAAGTAAATATCGGAAAAAAATAAGTGTCTTGGTGTTATAAAAAAAAAATTCAAAACAAATAGAGGCTGTTCCAACTAAACCCCACATTAGAAGTATTAGGAGTTCTAACAATAAGATTTATCTAAAATTTTCTTTGATTATGGCTCGGTTAGGTTTTGCTCAATGAAAATATTTTCAAGATGGCGGCACTTCCTGTTACAACTTCGTTATTTTAAATAGAAAGGTTTGTTTTTTATTCCGTTTTTGGATTATTCAAATGATTTTGAGAGAGTCTTTATTAGCTTTTCCTATACCTAAGTTTTAACGTTTTCAAAATATTTAGACCTTTTTAATTTTTTTTTGGATTTGAATCTTCATATTCAAAAATCGATAACTCTACTATTTTTTATTATGTTGAAACCGTATTTGAATATACAAGAGAAAAAGGTTAGATCATTTCTTTGGTGTATTCATAATTGGAAAAATAATTAACAAACCGCCAAAATGTAAGGTTAAGTTTCGGAAACTTAACTCAATTTTTCTAAATGAAATACTCCAATTTTTTCTTCACTAAATGGAGGAGAATTTAGTTCTGCTTTGATCTGTATTAACATTCCCTATACCTATGTTTGATAGTTTTTAAGTTATAGTAACTTGTTTTGATATTGTGAGAAATTCATTAGCTACTTTAGCATAGGTTGTCATAGAAATAAAAAAAATAGAATATCAAAGTTATTCAAATTTAGATTAAATAAATTTAATTTGTATTTACAAAAAGAATAACACAATTAAAGGGGTGAGTGGATAAAGGTGTTATGTAACATTTTTTTGAAAACTGGTATTTTTTTTAAAACAATTTTTTTCGAAATATTCTTTTATTGAAAAAGACTTTTAAGTGTTGGTTTCTATTAGGAATAAAATTACCAAATGCTAAAGGCGTTATGTACAACTTGGATTGTTGAATAAACAGTGGATAAAGGTGTTAAAATATGTTTAAATAAATAAATAATAATAAATAAATGTTTAAAAAAAGCACAAATAACACTATTTTTACTTAATTCAATTACTTTCCGACATATTCTTGACAAAATTTTGCGAAATAATTGCGTTTTTTATTGAAAAATGTTTTAAAGCGCTCGAAAAGAGCATAAATTATGTCGTTTTTTATTTAGTCTGGTAGTCTGGAAAAAAGCAAAAATAACATCATTTTTGAATTAATTATGTGATTTTTGGCTTATTTTTGACGAAGTTTTGTGCTTTTGATTGAAAAATCTGATAAAACATTTGGAAAAGCAACCAAATGATTTTTCGGGTCAAAAACATCTTAAACTCTCTAAAGAAGCAAAATAATTTTAGTTTCGTGTTAATTTATTCATTTTTTACCTCATTTTCGATGAAAATTTTCAAAATAATTGAGATTCTGACTAAAAAACGTCCTAAAACGGAAAAATAGTATTTTTTAACAAATTTTTTAGCACAATCTAAAAGAGTAAAAATAACACCATTTTTGAGTAAATTTAGCGATTTGTGACGAAATAAATTTGTAAATTTTTAATTGAAAAACGTGCTAAAACGCCCAAAAATTCATAAAAAAGGCCATTTTCAACCCAATTTGGTAATTTTTCAATATGTTTTAACAGAATCTTACAAAAAAACATGATGTAAACAAGCAAAATTCATTATTTTTCACTTAATTTGGTGACTTTTCGGTATATTTTTGTCTAAACTTTTCGAGATAATTCCATCTCTTATTGAAAAATATGGTGTTAATATGGAAAACCGCTTTCTAAAAGTCCATGAACTAGTTTCAAAATTACACCTAGTAAACAAGAAAAACAATCTTTTAAATGAGAATCTTAATTTTCGGGACGACATAAAGTGGACTTTTTCATATTGTGTCGTTAGAATTTCATTTATAAATGTTTTATTAAACTTGAAATTGCAATAAAAAACATTAAAATTATCAAAGTTGATACCCATTTCCGGTGTAACCGGAAGTGCTGTCATCTTGAAAATATTTTCAATAAACAAGATCTAAACGATTATGGCCATAGTCAAAATTTTAGATAAATATCACTATTATAACACCCAATACTTCTAATGTGGGGTTTAGACCGAACAGCCCTGTATATGAGACAAAACTTGTCTACAAGACACATTTTTTGTATTATTTGATTATTAATTTGAGTAAGTAAAAAGCTCCTACAAATGGTAAATTTACAGGTTGTGTAATTTATTATTATTAATATTTATAAATGCCATGACATAATGTGAAAAGTGTTTCATTACATTACATTTTCATTTTAATTTATATGTCACGTTACCACGTCACTACTGTGCAAATAATATTAAATCATTTTGCACTAAAATACAATGTTATAAATTTAAATGTCATAAAAATATTTGAATAACCAACAATCAGATAAAACCTCTAATTTCTTTCCTTTTACTTACCTATGGTAAATGTGTTAAAAATAGTCCCAATGACGGCAAATAATAAAATCGTGCCTAAATGATCGAAAAATAGTCGATTAGGCATAAAATAGCCAGCGTCCAGAATAATTGGAGGAAGCATGTAAAAAAAGAAAGTGTCTGGTGTAAGCGGCGACATATGGACGCTGTCAGTAACGTGGACCAAAACGACTCCAATCGCCACTCCTACGAATATTAGGAGACATGACTCGGGGAATATTTCACTTAATTTTGGGGCCATATGAAAACCTGAAACAAAACAAAAAAGCAAAATTTTATTTGTAATCAATACTTTACATTTGATTGTGTTGATGCACTTTTGGTGGATGCGCCGGGTAACAAACTATACAGAGTGCGTCAGAAAAAAATGCCATGTAAGGTAAAATACCAGGTAAAAATAAAAAAGTTATGAGAGTTTATTTCTGTTGGAAAAATAATTTTCCAATTTTTTTTGCTAAAGACTATAAAATGAAAAATGGAAATGGAAAATGGAAAAAATGGTAAAAACATTCTATACAAAAATTTCGAAGTTATAAGAGTTTATTTCTGTTGAAAAAATAATATTCCATCTTTTTTTTGCTACAGGCTATTAGAAAATGCTGTATCCAAAATTGTAACTCTGTTTAATGTGATTTGTGGCTTTTATTGACAAAATTATTCTACCTTTACTAAATAAAAAAATGTGAAATGTCAAAAAATAAATATCAAAATTTTTTGACAGATAAAATTTTTTTAGACATTTTTTCCATGTTCCTGGTATCTTATCTCACTTGAAATTTTTCTCTGGGGCGCAAGTTCTGACGCACCCTTTATACTTCTATTATAGAAATTATAAATTAAATTTAAATACGTCTTAGTGTTTTATGCACAGCAAAAGAACCAAATCAATACAACTACTAAATATGAATTCAGTTTTCACAATAAAACTACAGAATATTGCATTGTTATCAGTTTTTGCAAATATTTTTAATTTATTTAACAAAATGCAGCGAATTCTTTTAGGGATCAATATGTAGGTAAACCCTGACCTTTTCGGATAGCTACCATTTGTGTGACTATTGGTTAGTCTGTTTTTACCAGTTAATAAAACTAGAAATTGCTTATTTTTCTTTTCTTGTCACAAAATTTTAGATTTTGTCAATTTAATTATAATAGTGTATTTATTACTGAGAATTTGTTTTCCAACACGTGAATTTCAATACAAAATCCGTGAAATTATAATTTATAATATCCCAAGCAGATTAAACGCCTACATAAATGTTTCATCTAAACTTCCACAAATATGTGTACACATATTTTTCCTTAGAAACGATGATGCTTGCGTAGATCTTTTCATGAATAATTTATTTAATAACTTTTCAATTTTTTTTATGTGCTTTCAAGAATTCAGTTCTTAATTTTATCTTAATTTGAAGTAAGTAGTTTACAAAATTTTAAAATTAATCTCCGACTTCTCGACTTTAAATTGAATTAATGCCAACAAAGTCTTTATATGTTTGCGGAAAATCTTAAATAACTTATTAGAAACTCACCAAAATGTCATATCAAAGTTAGAAAATGTTTGTTTGCAATTATTTACGTAAATACTGAGTTTGTATTGAAAAATATGGAAGATTATTTTATTTGTGTAAAGTTTTAAACAAGATTTCCATTTTAGTTAAGATAAATCAATGTAGATATTAATAGTTAGCTGTAGCACTCATGAACTCATCAGTTCATAATAAATTGTGTACAAAAATAAATAAATAAATTCAATAAACATTTTATTCTTAGAACTATTTTGACGGTATTTCAAAACTATCTAGTAGCTTTTTATTCAAAGTTCAATATCAGCAACTTGAACTTTAAATTTATTTTTGTTCTTTCAAAGAGGTAATTTTACCGTCCACTGCTATTTATAGAGGTTCTCAGTGATAATTCTTTAACAACTTTTATCAATGATAAACGTCATTGTTTATAATTTACTTTTAGTTATTTTTCCTGACATTATTTTAAAACAAATTTACATGTGTCTTACTGTGTGAACCATAAAACTTTATAACCAAAAGTTTTAAAAACCAAAATGTAATTTTAATCAAGTGAACTTGACAAGCTTATTTTTTAAGTTTGTTACAAAGAAAATATTCAAGGAGGAAAAAGCTGACATTTTTTTTTATATTAATCAACGCACATTTGCCAGTAAAAACCTGTTTATCATTATTTTAATTTAGTAAAGAAAAAAAACACAAAGATTTTTTTATTAAAAGTTTAATTTCAAAATTTTGCGTCTCACAACACTTCTTTTGTCCAGATTATTCTTATTGTACATCCATCCCTATGTCATATAACATTTCCACTGAAAAGCTTTCTCGGTTATTAAAAATTTCCTACAAATAAAGATTTTTACCTTAAAATTTTCTGGCTCCAAACAGTCCGTTCTAAATTTAATCATTTTAAAATTAGACATGACGAATGTTGGATTTGATGAATGAAGTCGAGTAGTAAATAAAGTGAGCTATTTAATAATTTTCTATAAAATAACCATTTACCACATAGGTGTTTCAAAAGTTTAGTTATATAATAACCATCTTTGATATAAATTATGTATGAGGTGTTACAATATTGTAATATAAAATATTTCATAAACATAAACTCAGAACTCTCCACATACATGTCCCAAAAATAAGTTACGATACAAACTTATATTTTTTTAAATGAAACACCGTATGTTTTTTGGTATTTTTGGATGTAGCCTTTTAAAACAATGTTTTTACCCTAAACTTTTTTTTAGTCGATTTCGCTTAGTTTTAGAAATAAGGCGCTTTTTTGACGAAAACATGAACTTTTTAAAAATTTATTACACAAAAACTAAGACAGCTAGAACAAATGTTTTCTTACTTCTGCAAAGAAGAAAGTACAAAATTTAAAGTTGTAGTAACTTTTTAGTGTTTTGTATTTGTAAAGATTAATAATTTAAGAAGTTTATTAAAAGTTAAATAACTTAAAGGATATAAATGGGACACCCTATTTTTTATTTTTGCATCTAATAGATTGATAAATTGTCTATCTAAAAAAATAAACTTTTAATGTCTAGAATTGATAAGATATTTAACATTCAATATTAATTGTAGCAACAATGCTTATCAATATCTGAGCATTGTTGATTTTATGGAAATCATAGTAATTCCACCACGGATCACTTATTCGTTGATTTATTCAGAGATTATAAAAGTCGTTATAAATACTGAAATTATTTTTTTTAATGTTTAAGGTTAAATATCTTTTTAATTATTGATTATAAACACCTAAAAGTAAATAATTTCAGAAAGACAATTTAATAATATTTTAAATGCAAAAACAATAAAAAGGGTGTTCTATTTAATTTTTTTAAGTTATTGACTTTTAACAAACGCCTTAATTTTTTCTATCTTTGCAAATGCAACACACTAAAAAAATGTTACAACTTTATAGCTTGTACCTTCTTCTTTGCGGTAGTAAAAAAATATTTCTAGATGTAATAAATTTTTAAAAAGTGCATGTTTCCGTCAAAAAAAATTTTTAAAAATAAGCGAAATCGACTAATAAAAGTTTTTTGTATTGTCATAAAAATCTACAAAATACAAGTTTGTATTGTAACTTATTTTTGAAACACGCTGTATAGTCGAAAATAATTTTAGGCGATGGACTAGATTAGTATCTATCAATGTCCTATATAATTTTTGTTATTTTACCATTTAAAATGGCCTTTTTGGACACTCTGTATTATGAAAGAGCAGAAAATTAATGGGTTTCCAAACAGCTACTCCCACTTTAGTGCAAATATTTCTCATTAAATTAATTTCGTTTCACCTGAAATTTCTCCCTGAAAGCACAAGATGCATGACGTCACCACATTCAATATACAAGATTTTTATAATACAAATTGGAGACTTAGATCCAATCTTAGTTTAAATGGAAATTGGTTAGCTCCTGTTTTAACCCCAAAAAAAAATTGATCCTTTTTTAACTGAAGCAGTTTTATTCAACGTTTTATAATGTAGATACTTAAAAAAACTTAATCTGAAAGTCTGTTTACATAATCGAAAAAAAAATTGAAAACGCAAAGAAACAAAATAAGAGATGCATTGTTGTTTCAAGAATTAGGCGTTAAATTCTTTATAGCTTCAAAAAAAAAACTAATTTGTTTAGTCTTCACCTTGTATACCTAATTCTTCTACAATTTTCTCTTTCAATTAAAATTGATATTTTTTTAGAAGTTGATTGGTCCATTAGGTGCTTAATTATAAAATTAATACTTAAAGACAATCTGATATAATATCCTATCACAATCAAATGTTACAAATGTGTGGTTGGGGACAAATTGGTGGTTACAAGGGCACTGCGTCTAGACAATCGATATTCTTTGACCTTAAACTCTGCAGTACTAAAATTCTGTGAAAGGTGGAAAAACAACTGTAGAAATTAAAAATGTCTCAATGTTAAAAAATTGCACAATTGACAGCAAAGCTCCCTAATTGTTACAAAAACATCATGATAAAATGTTATAAATTTGTAACAAACTTGTTTGTTAAGCGTACTTTTAATGGTCAAACACGCGTTTATTGTTTAACAAGTAAATAACGAGCAATTTTTCGTAATAAATCACACTTGACGCTTCATAAAATAACTTTTTGTATTTAGCGCCTAAAAGTCGCAAACATGTTGAATAAGAGTTTTGTTATTGACATGTAATTTAATTTCCCAGTGACGTAACTGTTACGTTTGTTCAAAACTTATGAAACATTTTCCACCCAATTAACCAGTTAATTATGATTATTTGCGAAAATCATTGAAACTGTCAAATTCCATTTACGTAATATATAAATTGGTTAGCACTTGAAACGGGAGATAAGTGTGTTATGTATTTATCTGACTGGTAGCTGCTTATGTAAGCTGTTTGTTTATTCAACCCTTCAGGAGATTATTATGTTGAAAAATTAGAGTTGCGACGTAACATTTTTCATGGTTATGAAAGCTCTTAACATTTCTTGCCTACCCAATTTATTCCAAAGGCAATAAAAAAATTTAAAGCTGTTTTTGTACGTTTTTCGAACATGATATTGTACTTTGAGCAAGCTGGCCTACATGTCATTTCTCACAATAATAATAGGCTAATGGTTCTAGTTAATATTGATAGCTCTTTCATGCTGGGAAATGTGGATACAAAGCCATAACTATCATAAATTCGTAATAACGCTCAAATCTAGGGAGTGAATTTCATGTGACAAGATCTAATTAACTAAAACCCAAATTTTAGAGAGAATAAAATAAGTAAAAGTTAATTTTTTAGTTAATGAAATATTGAAATGATTTTTCTCTCGGCTGTCTCTTATTTTAAGTAAACATTACAAAAAAAATTACAATTACGTTTTTATCCATATTTTCACTAATTTTTTTCACCAAAAAAACAAGAAAATGACAGAAAATGCAGAAATAATTATCATATTTTTTTTTTGTATACGCTCCCAAAAATAGGGACTCATTTGAAAAGGACTAAAATAGTACTCAATCCCAAAAAAACAGTTTTTCCGGGCGAAAAAGTCAATTTGGTTACTATTGTTGGGAATATTTTTAATTAATAAGAGTTTTTTGGAAGTTTAACAAAAAAATGTTGTATTTCAGCGTTGGACTACACTGGACTCCTTTTCATGATGAATTCGCAACTATTTGAAAAAAAATAAATTTTGAGCAATTTAAACTTATTTACATTTCTCAAATTGTAAGATTTAGAATCTATGATTCTAAAATCCACTTTCTAAAACCTAGAAATGTTAATTTTTGAAGTTTTGCGTTTGTAAAGTTATTTCTCACACTTACAAGTTTTTAGAATTTTTAATATCAAAGATTTACGTTTAAGAAACATTAACATTAAGAGTCTGTGATCCTAAAATCCAATATCTTAAAAATTTTGAGCATCAAAAACCTTTAGAATTTTAGATTTTTTTAAATTAAAGTTTCTAAAATTTGAATATTAAGGTTCTACGACTCTAAACCTTTAATTTTTATAATTTACAGTTACAAATCTAAATAAATGACAATTTTTGAATGATAAGATCTTGATTTTAAACATCTGGAGATGCAAAACTTAAAATTCTATAATTCTACGCTCAAAATTGTAGAAATACCTATGAGTTTCATAAACATAGAATCTTAATCTATAAAACAAGAAACTTAATTCCTTGGAATTCTAAACAGTTGTTAATCTTGAAATTTTGAGAATCTTTGTTTTAAAAATATTTAACATTTTTAGAAATGTAAAAATGCAAAACTTAAATTTTGAGAATATTGACTAAAATGTGCTATTTTAGCTGTATTTTTATAATTTTATAACTGTCTCATTTTCTATTTTTAGTAATTGATTTTTTTAATTACAAATGAATTCCATATTCTCGAAGGGTTTTTAAGAAACTAGTTAAATTCACTAAACTAATTATTATTATTATTAAATTTAAAATATAATTTTGATAAATGTTTTTTTTAATTCAATTTTCTTCACATACATACAGGGTGCCCCAGAACCCGCGCCCAGAGAAAAATTTTAAGTAAGATAAGAAACCAGGAACATGGAAAAAATTGTTTAAAAAATTCTATCTGTCAAAAAATGTTGACATTTATTTTTTGACATTTCACATTTTTTATGTTTATTTAATGATACTGATGATCTTGTATATGTTTTTATATAATTATTTAGTAAAGGTACAAAAATTTTGCCAATAAAAGCCACAAATAACATTAAAGAAAGTTACAATTTAGGATATAGCTTCCTTGTTTCCTCTTATAATAGCCTGTAGCAAGAAAACTTGAAAAAAAAAATTAAAACAAAGATAAATAAAGTCAAAGTGCATAATTTAAACTCTCATAACTTCGAAATTTTTATAGTTTTTTTTTTTTAATATGTTCCTGGTATCTTACATTATATGGCATTTTTCTCTGGGGCGCAAGTTCTGGCGCACCCTATATTATATTTCAGTTTCTTTTTCTACATCAAAGTGACAGTTTTCTACAAACCTTCAATTATTTCGACAGAATTTTTATACCATTCTAAAATCATTAAAATCATAAAGTGTAAGTTTTGAATTTAATTTTTGGGGAGTTAGAAACTTTGATAAAATTTCGTCTCCCTTTAGTTGAGACAGCCTGTATAATAATAATAATAAATACATGTTTCATGTATTTGTATTTTTACATTAGAGTTTATCTTGACGTCATTAGCTGAAGCAATAAATTAGAAACTCGACGGTGGAGTTTTTGGCATGAGTTACAATCAAAATAAATATTTAACATCAACAAAATACCCCAATTTTGTAATAATTGTATTTTATTTATTTTGCTTGTTTTAACAGAGGCAAATCCTTATCACTAAAAACCACGAGAGTGTCTAGGTAAACGTATGATTATGATAGAGCGAGTAAACTGTAAAGATTGTAGGTGTGAAAAAAATTCAACTAGACTAAAAATCTTTATTAACAAATAACAACAAATTGGTACTACTGGTTAATTGGTGATTTATCATTTAACAATTGAATGTTTTGGTCGATAAACTCGAATGTTTTTAGCACCACGTGTGTCCAAAGTGTGGAGTAAAAATTAAACGAAAAGCAAATATTTGTCGTAGGGTTGAGGCCATGCGGCATGCTATTCCTCCCCTTAACGATTTTCAATTATGTTCACTTTCCGTCGTGAATCATCTTCAAAACTCACCAATTTTAGCCAAACTCGCACAGAAAATCCACAGTCCAATAATAAACGGCGTTTCCACTCTTTGAAAAGAGACAGAAATGACGGGGTACCTCTCCACTTCCTTCTTCTGGGGTTGTTTCGAGGGGCTCGGCGTGGAGGAGGCAAGAGACTCCTCCACGACGGCTTTGCCCGTCGTCGTGGCCATATAAAGGCTGTCCATGTCGCGCGTGTTGGCGGCGCGGTTGACCGGGGGGTGCACGACAGTATCGGACGCGTGGTCCGGGGGCTTGGGCAGCCCCACAGCCGCCCCCACTAGCCATACCAGCAGCAGGGCCGTACACGCCCGCCGCGAGAGGTTCACACCGTGTTGAAGAGAGTGCATCACATATGGCTTAGGGTCGCGGGAGGACTGCCATGGAGGCAGCCGGCTGCAGGCACCGTGCACCTGCCGAGACTGGGCGTCGAATCCAGCTGATGACGGCGTCGCGGCGCCTGGAGTTGCGCACTGGAAGCGCTCGATTGCGCGCTCGAACGACGATGCCACTCGACAAGTATTTTTGATCAGTAAAAATAATAATAAATGCACAGTAAAAATAATAAATGCACAGAAGCATATTAAATGTACAGTAAAAATAATAAATGCACAGTAACCATACTAATTGCACAGCAAAAATAATATATCTACAGTAAAAATAATAAATGCACAGTATAAATAATAAATGCACAATAAAATAT